TCGACGACAACAAAAAATCCTGGCAAAAGGAAAAGGCAGAACTCACCATCTGCCACCCCAGGGAAAGACATGGAGCTACGGGATGTGCCCTATGATCCAATCAACGAGACGATCAACGGGTACAGCAAGCATCGCCAACCACTTCTACTCGAGGTCATTTGCAACAGACGACGCCTCCAAGCACCCGTGGACAGTGGAGCATCCCATTCAGTATGCGACAAAGCAGCCCTCGAACGCATCAATGAGGAGTGCACACCTTCAAGCTTCACACTTACGATGGTTGACGGAAGCAAGTTACAAGTCTACGGCGAAGTAGCGTTACACCTGCAGATGGGTCCTCTTCGCTGGAAACCGACCCTACCTGTCACCAACATCAAAGGGCTAGACTTGATCCCTGGGAGAGACTTTCTGAAGAAGTTCAATCCTGAGATCAACTGGGTCACCCGCACGGCAAGTATCTTCAATCAAGACACAAGAGTTCCACTTCCGAGTTGGAGCAACACGGGAGATATTCCGGAGGAGACTCTCGCACGCTTCGAGAAGGACGTGAAGCGAACCATGACAGGGTTTGTCGCACTGGTTACAGACGAGGATGAAGCAGAGAAGAAGAAACATGAGCTTTCACCTGCTGTTCAGAAACTACTGGAGGAGTTCAAAGATGTTCTCCCTGACGACCTTCCAGACTAGTTGCCACCATATCGAACCCACCAGCACGAGATCGACGAAGAACCTGGTTCGAAACCGACCTTCCGAGCACCATATCGACTCAGCCCTACCGAGTTGACCGACATGAAGAAGCAGATCGAATACCGCCTGGACAAGAGACTCATTCGACCATCGACATCACCATATGGTGCACCAGTGCTCTTCACGCCAAAACCTGACGGAAGCTTACGCATGTGCATCGACTACCGAGCTCTCAATAAGCAGACGATAAAAAATATGTATCCGATTCCACGGATCGACGATCTACTTGACCAGCTTTGGGGAGCCATGATATTCTCCAAACTTGATTTGAGATCGGGATATTGGCAAATCCGGATGACGGATAACTCCATCCACAAAACGGCGTTTCGAACACGATACGGATCCTACGAGTACCTGGACATGCCGTTTGGTCTCACCAACGCACCCGCTACATTCCAGGCCGAAATGAACCATATTCTCAGGCCTCTACTCGACGAATGCGTGGTGGTGTACCTGGACGACATCTTGATCTACTCGAGGGACATGAAGCAGCACATGGAACACCTACGACGCGTCTCTGAGATACTTCGACAGATGAAGTTTTACGTCAAGCTATCCAAGAGCGAGTTTGCCTTGAAGAAAGTTCAATTTTGTGGACACATGGTGAGCGCTCAAGGTGTACATGTGGACCCAAAGAAGATCGAAGCAGTACGAAAGTGGAAGACGCCGGAAAACGTTAAAGAACTTCAACAATTCCTTGGCTTCGCGAACTACTACAATCGGTTCGTGCCACAGTATGCGAAGATTGCAACACCTCTCACCAACCTACTGAAGAAGAATACACTGTTCAAGTGGGAGGATGTGCATCAGCAAGCCATGGAGTAGCTGAAGACCCCACTCACATCCGCACCCATACTTATCCTGCCAGATCTAGAAAAGGACTATGTCATCGAAGCTAACGCTAGCGACCAAGCCGTTGGAGCAGTCTTGATGCAAGACCAAGGAAAAGGTTTACAACCAATCGCTTACCTTAGCAAGAAATGCACGGGGCAGAACTCAACTACCCGATTCACGACAAAGAGGCCTTAGCGATCATCACCGCATTCAAGACATGGCGATGCTACCTCGAAGGAAGGAAGACCACGGTATACACGGACCACTGTAGTCTGAAGTACCTAAAGACGCAGCCTACTCTCTCCAGACGACAGGTCAGGTGGATCGACTTCCTCGAGACGCACTTCGACTTTGACATCGTGTACAAGCCGGGAAACAAGAATAAGGCAGATGCACTGAGCCGGCCAGGACACATTCCCGCCATGCAGGTTGAGGGGATGAATCCGCTACTTAAGGGACTCTTTACGCACGGATATACTATCGACCCCGAGATTCCCTTGGCAGAGAAGAAGAAATTGCTGCAGTGGGACCACGACATCGCACTACGCAAAGGATCAACAAAGATATGGGTACCCAACTACCCGCCTCTTCGGCAGTTGCTTCTAGAAGAATTCCACAATGTACTCTACGCTGGACACTTCGGGAGTAACAAAACCCTTGCCGGGATTGCGAAATTCGACTTCTGGCCTCACATGGCAGACGACGTGCAGAAGTTCGTCACTTCGTGCGACACGTGCCAACGGATGAAGAGTAGTAAGCAGAAGAAAGCAGGACTTCTTCAGCCTCTACCCGTTGCAGAACAGCCTTGGCAAGTGGTCAGCTTGGACTTCATCACCGGGTTACCACCTACCAAAGCGGGGCATGACGCCATCCTGGTCGTCATCGACAAATTCTCAAAGATGGGACACTTCATTCCGACGCATACAACCGCACGCACGGAGGAAACGGCACAGCTATTTATCAAACACATCATCTCATAGCACGTGATCTCGACAACCCTTATATCTGACAGGGACCCCAAGTTTACTAGCAAGTTCTGGAAAGAGCTCATGTCGCTCATGGGGACGCGCCTTGCGATGCCATCTGCATATTATCCCCAAACCAATGGGCAAACAGAGCGCTTGAACCAGATTGTGGAACAACTCTTGCGCGCAGCGTGCAAGGACGACGTTAGCAAGTGGGACTTGCACTTGCCGGTGTTCAAGTTCGCCTACAATAATGCGAAGCATGCCGCAACAGGAGAGACCCCGTTCTTCCTCTGTTACGGTCGACATCCGCTAACTCCACAACAGCCGACAGTACCTGCAACCGTCCAGCCTGCGCACGACTTCGTTATCACAATGCAACAGTTTTGGGATTGGACACACAAGCGTCTGCATGACATACAGTCTTCACTGAAACGCTCAGCCGATCGCCATCGCCGTGATCATACCATTACGGTTGGTGACCATGTGCTTCTTGACACATGCAACCTCAACCTCGGTCACCTTCCATCCAAGTTGCGACCTCGCTTCTGCGGACCTTTCCTCGTAGAAGAGCAGGTCACTCCAGTCACATTCCGCTTGCGCCTACCAGCTACTTGGAAGATTCATAACGCCTTCCACGTGCAGCTTCTTAAACCCTATCGGGATCCAAATAAGCTGTACACGGGACGCCAACCTCCGCCGCCGCCTCCAGTCCTCGTGAATGATGAACCCGAGTACGAGAACAAATCTGTGCTTGCACATCGTAGTCGTCGGCATGGCGCCCCGGAATTTCTCATACGCTGAAAGGGCTATGATCCTTCTGAGGATAGCTGGGTCTCTGAAGAAGACATAACTAACGCCCGACGTTCTCTCCGAGACTACCTTGTCAAGCAGGGTGTTACATCTACCACCCAACTTTTAGGGGGGAAAGTGTGAGAGTACGTCGACGTTCGACATATTTCTCATTTCCATATTTTTCCTATATCTTATTCTCCTTATTTTCCTCTTTCATTTGCACTTTATTTCACCTCAATCGGACTACTATTCTATTTTCTAGAGCTTTCCGATTATTTCACTTATTTTGTATTTTCGGCACCGACAATTACATTATACGGCACCGACAGCACCGACAGCACCGATAGTGGTGTACAAGGCGTAATCTCGCCATAATCCGAAGTGCCAATGGGCTTGCGTGCTTATGCGCACTAGTGATTATGTATTCTAGAAGAGCGCGTTCCCGAAGGTTCGGATTATCGCTTGTGTCTATGAATTTCAGAGTATAAATACGCCTTGTACTCACCTTTAGTGCAACATTCTCGAGTGGAAATTCGATCCTGTGACAGGTTGGGTCCACATGCTAGTTTGCCCCTAGGCCATAGACAGCTGCAAGCAAGTAACATCGAAGGTTAGTAACAAGGTGCAAACTGCAAAACGAATGTAGCTTGCGTGACATTGAAATAAAACTCACGGTGCTAAAAAAAGCGGCACCACTCTGCAGGGGTCCATGAGATAGAGGGCGCGATGTTTTCCTCCGAAAGCTCCTTCCACTTGCTCTCTGGAACGCACCCTCCCGGGCCTCTCCCGAACAACTTCATATCAGCGTTCACGTTAGAACGCTTCTTCGAAACTTTGCGCATCTTCAGCGCCTCCTTCTGGGGGTCCGTGCTGATAACGTAGTAAAACATGTCAGGCAAGACGCCCGCGACCTCGTACTTCTGACACATCACCTCGCGAAACTCCGACCACTCTGGGTAGAAGCGCATTGAAAGTGCAGGCGCATCAGTCATCAGGAAGCTAATCGACTCGAGCGCCTTCTTTTGCGATGGAAAAGAAATAACGGATTGTAAAAGGGAACAGAAGACAAGTGTGAGTACAAAAATCGGTATTTTAAGGGCATCCGGGTTAAAAAAAGACACAATACGCCAGAAAACGATAACTTACGGCGAAATGCGCATCCTGAGTAAGAATGGCAAGAAGAAGCACATTGCTGTTGGTGTCGCGTAGAATGCGTTCCAGGTTATAAGTCGTGGAACCGTTGACGGCAAGAGAACGGACCCCTTCCGGGTTTTGGGCAGCAGCGAGGTCATGAAGAAGTTGCTCGTTAAGTCGCACCATCTCGGCGTAAGGCTCGTTCATCGTGGCTAGCTCCACGTCCCTCGCCGAGAGGTGCTGGGACAGTTCCCTTTCACGGTCCTGGGTCTGCCTGAGAGTGTTCCGCACATCAGCAAGTTGTCCTTGCAGTCTGAAAATCTGGACGGCGCTTTCTTCTTCGGCGGGAACAACTGCGACATGGTGGGGCGAAAAGGTAAGTAGAAGAACAAGTTATTCACAAACAAGGAACAATGAAGCATGCGGTAGTTCGAGTAAGGTCAAACGTTGGCGGACGGAATCGAATATCGTAGCAAAGCTAAGAAATCGGGTCTTACTGCTTTGTGAGCTGACTTGCAGTCCTGGCTATGCTGCGGCGTTTGCAGTTGCGGCAGCAGGGGCGGTGACGACAGATCCGTCAAAAATCGCGGTTGCAGCTTCTTCTTCCACAGCTAATGATGGTGCAGGAAGCGGCGCAGTTGGGGAGTCTGAGGCAGCATTGACAGCAGCGGCACTTGGAACTGATGTCGCCGGATCGGCAGGCGTGGAAACAGCAATCGATGCAGTGAGTATAGCGGCAGGAGAAGTCACGGTAGTTGCGTCGTCTACGGTTGTCACGGTCGTCGCGGCGGCAGGCGCACTAGTGAGCGCCGCCGCCGCCATAGCCGGAGTGGTTGTTGCCGCAGTGATTGCTGGTGCACTGATAGCAGCTGCTGCTGCATCAGTAGGTGCCTCTGTGTCTAGCGCTGTGCCACGAGATGTAGATGGCCCAGCACCGTTGTCTTGCAGCATCTTACTGAGACAAGCAAGCTTTTTCTTGCCCCGTCCCTTGGCCGTGAGGGTCACTCCGCTCTGCTTGAGCTGCTGCATGAAGCCGAGCATTTCGTCCAGGTTCACCACGTTGTCCGCGTCATCATCCCCCCCAGAATCATCCTGGGGACCTTGTTTGAGGGTAACCACTTCTTCGTCGCTGACATCGTCCGACATCGAGCCTGCAGCAAACACTCGCTTTAGGAAGGTGAGTCTGTTCATTGTGCGAAGGATTGCACGTGTGAGTGAGTCGCACAACCCCATTTCTAGTCATTTATGGCGGGGTATTGGTTGTGCTGCGATGCGCCAATGCTAGCGTTGCGTGGTTTGTGGACTACGCGTCTTCGTGCGACTGTTGCAACGTGGAAGCGATCCTTGAGCGGTTTGCCTGAAATCTTTTCCCAATCGCCCAATCTGCCACGTAGCATCGAACCTATGGCGATTGGGCGAAGAGGCGCCACGCAAACCTGAAGTCATTCATTTGTGCGGTCAGCATATTTGCTGACATGGATGAGCGGGAAGGAGCTTTTGATACTGGTGCTGTTATCGAGAAACGTATATTATATAAATATTTGGGCATTTCCCAGATAATTAATTTATATGTGTATTTTTTTTAAACAAATCTATTTACCAACCATAATTCATCGCGCGCATCAGGCTGCACCAGATCAACGGCACGCAAAATACTATTCACGCTAATGACTTGGTAGCGCTGTTTTGTAAGTCCCAGCGCAGCTGTATGCACCCATTTACTACATCACGCTGCGGTAGGACCCTATAATATTTAATAAACGCGTATGGCTTCATCGGTGTGCCGTCTTGCAGATGGAACAAGATGAGTGTCTTTGCATACAACTCTTCGTGGACGCCATTTGTCAAAGGGCCCCACATTGCAATGTCCAAATACCATGGGCGCCCATAAAAATTTGCAACAGCGCGCACGCGGTGTTGTCAGAATAACTGAACGAGGAATGGATGAACTAGCAGGAAGGTGGGTACAAGTATGAAACCCTAAGTTTGTGTACCCTCTAAGGCTAGACCCACTATAGCCTACACAATATAAACATACAATGTTTGACACACCCCCATAGGCGAAGTGGGAGACAACCAGAGGGTCACAAGACCAGTCAAAGCAAAGCAAAGCAAAGCAAAACAGGCTCAGGGTGGATCTCAAGGATACCACACAAATTCCGAGCACAAGCAAGCGGTCACAAGACCAGTTCACATGCAGTTTGATAATGTAGCAAGACATACAGTGATCACAACCTAGCAAGTGTAAACATGCAGGTATATATATATAGAGATCACAGTACAAACAGAGTCAAGAAGTAAGCAAGTGAGGTCCAGCAGGCACAAGGCCTAGAAGAGTACAGAAACGCTGATGGTCACAAGGCTGAAGCGCCTTGGTGAACACATCAGCAAGGTTGGCCTCAGTGGCCACGTAACGCAGACGTAGCTGACCACGCTGCTGCAGCTCTTGAGCAAGGAAGTACCGCAGGGCAATGTGCTTCGTTCTGTGCTCCAGTCTGTGCTCCTCACACAAGGCAATGGCAGCCTGGTTGTCGACGTACAGCACTGGAGGAGAACGAGGCCGCTCTCCCAGGTCGGTCAGCAGGTAGGTCAGCCAGCGTAGCTCCTGGGCAGCCATGGCTGTGGCGTAGATCTCAGCCTCACAACTGGAGCTGAGAACAGAAGAAGAGCGTGTAGAACGCCAAGAAACTGAGCCGGAGCCAAGGCTGAAGGTGTAACCCTGAGACGACCGCTGAGTAGCCTGGTCGTCCGCCCAAGAAGCGTCTGAGTGTCCAGTAAGTACAACTCGGTCTCGCCCTCCAAGCACTAGCCCCATGCCCAACGTACTGCACAAGTAGCGCAACACCCTCTTAGCGGCATCCATGTGCTCCTTCCTGTGACGGCCAGGAGCGACATAGCGTGCAAGGATGCTAAGAGGGTATGCAAGGTCAGGTCGAGTGCAGGTCATCAGGTACATGAGGCAGCCCACAAGCTCTGGATACGGGCCACTCGGCTCTACGGACTCATCCGAAGGCAGAGCTGAGAGCGAGTGACCGGTAGGCAGAGGAGTGGACTGAGGCGAGGAGTACGTGAAGCGGAAGCGCTGAAGGATCTGCTGCACCATGTGTGACTGAGTCAAGGTGATGGTGCGCCGTGCTCTGTCCCGGGTGATCCGCAAGCCAAGATAGCTTGTCAGTTCACCCAAGTCTGTGCACGTGTGTCTCCTCTGCAGCTCCGACTTCACGTGGGCGAGTGCCGCGGTGTCAGCAGTGGCAAAGACCAAGCCGTCGACGTACACGAGGATGTAGAACGGCGGCAGCGAGGTGTCTGTGCGTAGAAACAGTGACGGGTCAGCAGTAGAGGGAGCGAACCCAAGAGCCGCAAGTGTCGTCCTCAGTGTGTCGTGCCACTCACGCGGTGCCTGGCGGAGACCGTAGACCGGCCGCTGGAGCCTCCACTGGGTACCAGGAGGAACCGACCCAGTGAAGCCAGGAGGGCGGCGTAGCCAGATCTCCTCGTGCAGGCTGCCCTGCAAGAAAGCAGTGCTGAAGTCAAGTGAGTGAAGCTCGTAGTCGCGCTGAGCGGCTATGTGCAGCAGCACCCGAAGAGTGGTCAACTTCGGGGTGGGGGAGAAGGTCTGGAAGAAGTCAACTCCCTCTCGCTGACTGAAGCCTCGAGCCACATAGCGCGCCTTGAAGACAGGAGGAGAACCCGGTGGCCGCTTCACCCTGAAAATCCACATGCCACTGACGATGTTCGCCCCAGGTGGGGGAACCTCGTCGACGTAGGTGCGTGTGGACTTCCAGGAAGCCATCTCTGCGTCCATGGCTGTCTGCCACTGAGAGGAGTAGGGACCCGCCATCGCCTCGGCGTAGGTGCGCGGGGTCGGGATGTCTGGTGCATCCGGGTCTCCCTCAGGGGCAACTAGCATGGACACGAGATGGGGCAAAGCAGCAGCAAAGCACTGGAACTCCTCCTGTCTGTCCTCAAGGACGTCCGTGCCAAGAGCACACACACCCCCGACGGACGGAGGACAGACAGACTCAGACTCGGACTCAGCAACAAGGCTAGTGGCGTAGTCTAGACGACACCGGGCAGCAAAGTCTACCAACTCAGCGACCAGAGCAGACGCAGCAGAGGACTCAAAGGTAGGGTCAGTGACAACAGTAGCGAGAAGACGCGTGACAGTGGGACTGGCAGCACGACGGGAGTCAGACTCCGGGTCAGGAAGAGTAGGAAGAGAGGACACAGGAGGAGACGGCAGCGGGACACGCTGAGGAGCAGTGGAGGGACGCAGAGTCATGTAGTGAGTGTCAGGGACAGGAGGAGGACGCTCACGTGGGACACGACGACTAGTGCGAGCAGTACGAACAGGCGACGCAGGACGAGACTCAGGCTCACGACGCTCTGTAAGACCTCTTGTGGGACCAGCGTAAGGAGAGGGAGCAGGGAGAGGCGAGGCAGGCGGTAACTGTGACTGCGGCGGGACAGGCGGAAGACACTCTACGGAGGGAGGAGGACAAGGAGGAGGAGTCTGACCAAGAACCTGCTGAAGGAGCGGTACGAAGTACGGTCGCGGCCGCGCAGCGTCTCCAGAACGAGCAGAGACACCAGCAGCAGGGTCCTCAGTACCCGCAGTAGCTCCAACGTCCGGGTCCTCAGCACCAGCAGCAGCTCCAACGCCCGGGTCCTCAGCACCAGCAGCAGCGCCACCGCCCGGGTCCTCAGCACCAGCAGCAGCTCCAACGCCCGGGTCCTCAGCACCAGCAGCAGCGCCACCGCCCAGGTCCTCAGCACCAGCAGTAGCTCCAACGCCCGGGTCCTCAGTACCAGCAGCAGCGCCACCCCCAGGGTCTGCAGCACCAGGAGCACCACTTCGACGTCTTCAGCGCCGCGCGTACCACTCTCGGATCTGCTGAATGGGGGGGAGCTCCTGGGTAGGAGGGGAAGTACTGGTACGAGCTCCAGCAGCACCTCTCCGGAGGCGGCAGTACTGTAGGTACCTCTCCTGCAGCTGCTGGGAGGAGAGGGCTCCCCCAGGTGGAGCACGCTCAGGCTCAGCACCTCCAGACACAGCACCCCCAGACGTAGCACCCCCAGGCTCAGCACCCCCAGAATCCGCACCCCCAGGCTCAGCACCCCCAGACTCAGCACGGTCAGGCTCAGCACCCCCAGGCTCAGCACCCCCAGACGCAGCACCGCCAGACGCAGCACCTCCAGGCTCAGCACCTCCAGACTCCGCACCCCCAGGCTCAGCACCTCCATGCTCCGCACCCCCAGGGTCCGCACCCCCAGGCTCCGCACCCCCAGGCTCACCTCCCTCAGACTCCTCACGGTCAGGCTCAGCACCCCCAGCAGGACGAGAGTCAACAGCTACCTCGACAGGCTCAACCGGGTCTACCTGGGACACACCTGAGGGAGCGGCACCCTGAGGGGGGAGGGGGTCTGGTACCTCAGCACCTGGAGCGAGGAAGAGAGGCGGGGGGGGGAGCGGGGCAGTGCGGTAGGGGAAGAGGCGGTAGTAGGGGACGGACTCGTCAAAAGTGACGTCCTGAGAGGCCAGGACACGACGCGAGGTGGCGTGGTAGAACTGCCAACCAGGCGCGTCCGGGACAAAGCCAAGGAAGACACAGGGGACAGCTCGACGGGAGAGCTTGTCCGCGGACGTATCGCGAACAAAAGCTCGAGATCCCCAGACCCGAAAACGCGACGCATCGCCAGCCTCTCCCGTCCAACGCAGTGTCGGAGAAGTCTCCGGTAAGGAGACACGGGGCCAGAGGTTGAGCTGATGCGCAGCGTATCGGACTGCAAATGGCCACAGAAAGTGGGGGGCAGCCGCATGAACTAAGGAGGTACGAGCGACCTCCATGACCAAGCCAATGCGGCGCTCAGCAACCCCGTTCTGCTGTGGAGAGGCCGGAAGCGTGAACGACTGCTCAATGCCCTCCTGCTGACAGAAGGTCTCCAAGAGGCCAGAGGAAAACTCCCCACCTCTGTCAGAGTGCAGACGCAGGACAGGGAAGTCGGAGCGGAAACGCTCACTGAGCTGGAGACGAGATCTGCGGATCCAAGGGATCAAGACATCAGGGACGTCACCCTTGGTGCGCAAGGGGAAGACCGTGGTGTAGCGCGAGAAGTCGTCAACAACAATCAGGAAGTACCTCTCCTGACCCTGACCACGGACGCGGGCTGGGCCCCACACGTCCATGTGG